CCTGAGGCAGCCTGATCAGTGAGTGGCAACCCTGCCCACAGTAGGGGGTTGAAATTAAATGAGCTTAAAGGTTCCTCCTAACCTGTGTTTCTATGGTTCTGTGATTCTGTGATAGAATTCTCTGAGAAAAAGAAAAGTAAAAGATCAGTCTCATTCTTCATAGCGTTTTTCCTTATATAAGGGTATCATGTCAGTAAGTAGCACTTCTATTCAGACCTAGAAAATTTTACATTCAGTTCATTCAAGTGTGACTGAACATAGTTCAGAAAGGAGTGGAAAATTCTGTCTCATCGAGTCTAAAAGGAAAAGTATTGAAAATCCCAATGGAAATGAATCTTTGAGAGCTTTTATGCTGACAGTATAAGAGCACAAGCTTATGTTCCTCTTAGTACTGTATTGTCATACCTGTCATTGAGCTTGCTGTTAAACAAAGCTGATCCGCTTTGGTAGTAGCTAATGGAAATCTGTCTTAAGCCAGGAAGTATAAATTTTTGTCTTATTTGGCTATACCACAATGCAAGTTCTATTTGCACAAAATAACAATCCGTGGCAGTTAAATCTGATGTAAAGTAGCTTTTAAAAAAAGTAATTTTTATACACTTCAGATAATGGCAGTCAATGTGTAGCTGTTAGAATTGAAGATCTTTTCATTCCTCCTGCCAGTAAACAAGGAATTTGAACTGCACATCTCTCCAATTGCACTGCAGAATCACCTTGTGAACTTGAGTGTGTCTCTAAGTTTAGACAACAGAAGATATCTTCTCATTCCCTACCTAAAATCCTCAGCTACCTATCTCCGTATCGTACCTTTTGTTTGAGATACAAACTACTTACACAATATTATCCAGCTCCGATGTAAAGCTCAAGGAGGAGAATCCACCTTATTTATGCAACATTTCACAACATTAGTCATTATCAAAACTATGTCTTCTCTTTCCAGTTTGAATTTGCTTTGATTTAGCATCTGTTGGCTTTCCTCATACTTGTTTTTGGGACTATGTGAAGAAGTAATCTAGCTTGAGAATCAGGAGCGTGTATGCTGACTGTGACAAACAACTTACCTGTCTCTCTGAGAACCATTAATACAGGTAGTGCAGTATTTCCTCCTTTTCTATTGTCTTCTTGCACATTTCTAAATCCTTTACTAATTGTCTTTTTCAGTTTGAACAATGAATGTCCAATTTGAATTTATTACTTCAGTAACTTCCCAGTCTTTCCAAGAGAAGCATAATGCCAGTATCTCATAGCCACTTGATATTCTCTTGGTTTTACCTTCAAAGATCCTCTTAGCTCTCGACCACAGTGTCATGCTGGGAGTTTCAGTGTTTAACTACTGTTCTCCCTAACATTTTAAGATACAAATGAAATGTTGTGTTCATCACATGGATCCATAGAAAGGACAAAAATGAGTTGGAATTTTTCCTCAGAGGTGCATTACAACAAATGCCAATTTCAGTCAAAAACCTGTGGAGCATCTTCTTGTTTTGTTTTGAAATCAGTGACCTACACGAGAAACATTTTCCCCTCTAATCTTTGCCATCATGCAAATTGTAATAATCTGCTTGGTTTCCAAAGATCAGAGTGGGAGTATAACCTCACTGAGAGAAATGGAGTATTTACAGTGAAGAGCTTAGTTCTTAAATGCCATTGAGGGAAGAAACAGTGAGTCTGGCTTAGATCTGTTTTCCTTTTGCTGTAGCTTTCATTTGTGGCTTTATCAGTGTTCTAATTTCTGATAATGGCAAACAAACAAATGTAAGCATGATTCACTTCACAAATATTTTGTTTTGGCCTCACTGAACATGAACATTTTGGAACATATTTCATAGATGCTTGAGCTGCGTCTGACAAGCAATGCATCCAGACCACATAGCAAATTGCTGAGTAGAAACACTGATTTGAAAGTGAAAAACTGTGCTGACAGTCTGCTTCAGCTTGACATATTAGGTCAGATCAGAGCTGTGTCCCATATTACCCCTAGTTCTGTAGTTAATACTATCACAGCAAGCTCAGCTGTCTTTTCCCAGTACTCCACTGTGTGGACTAAATTTGTCTCTTGCACTGTCTCATCGGTTAAGTTCCATTCAACCTGTCCTTCAACTTGTCTAGTACTTATTTTCCGAAGTCACTTGTCTAGCCTGCTCAGAGGTACACAATGAGATTTCTCACTTGACACTTTGAATGAAGTTAAAGGTCAGGATCTTGCTATATTGATCAGTGAAGGAAACTGCTGTAGAGTAACTACAGGTAAAATGTGAGAACTCTGTGCACCAGGTTTATATGTGCTAATGGACTAGCAAATTATTGCTAATGGGATTGCATACCTTTGAAAAAGCATACCAAATATCATGCAAGCATTTCCAAAGTAAAATCTTTCCCATTTTCAGAAGATGCAGAAATGAATATCAGTGAGGAGATATCATTCTGTGGTTGTGCTACACGTGTTAAGTGTTTCATTGCAATCAAAGAAATAAAAACTAGAAAGGAGTGAGCCATAGTGTTTGTAACAATCCCTTTATGAATCTTTCTCCCAGTAGAATTCAGGGGAGTGTTTAGTTAGTGAACATGTCCCAAATGTAGTTTTTAGTATCATTTTGTAAAAAACCTGTTATTGGTGAGAAAAGAAAAAGAGAGCAGAAATGTTCTAAAGTTTGGCTAGCTATGTTTTTCATTAGCAGTTAAAAATATTAAAGTCAAACACATTTAAATTTTTGCATAGCTTTGAGTGTGCAGTGGCATCTCATCACATTTTTATCTTTGCACAGCATGCTATAGAACTGTTCCATTTTGCATTTTTGGTACACACATTGGTTGAACAATCACAGTGATCTTATTGTTTGTTTGTTCTGTCAGTGTACAATCTGCTACCTTATTTAGTACATGCAATTAACATTTCTGCTCCGAAGATCTAAACTGTGGTTTTCTGAGAGCTATTTTGTGGAAGTCATCAGTGGTATCTGAATGCTCCAGTAACATTCATTCATTAGCTTACCACACACTTCAGGGGCGTGGGGTGTAGCTGCACTATCAAATTCAAAACAAAAACAAAACAAAACAAAACAAAACAAAACAAACAAACAATCAAACAAATATTAAACACAGACTACAGGTCCCACGAATTTCCAATGCAAATATGAATGTTCAAGTGTTTTCATAGTTTAGATTCAGAGGTATCAAGATAGTCTCCCAGAAAAGTAGGAACACAGTTGGGAACTTCTTGTAGAAGATTTGGATTAGGATAAGGTAAGCATCATGCTAGAACCCCATGTCACTTTCAGGAGTTTAATTATTTTTTTTTCTTCTTTTCTCTGCTTTCAAGATATGCTCTGTACCAACTGTTAGCATGTACTCAGTGTGGAAATTCACGTTCTAAATAGCTTTACTCCAGGCTGAGTTCTAAAGTACTGAAAGCAACTAGCCATGACAAAGATCAGACAGTTGTAACTATAGATAGTGCTATCTGCTCAGCCTATAATAGTGGTTAAATCCATTACAGTCAATGAAGTTACAGAGTCAAATGCAATCAAAATCAGACTGTGCACCTAAAATTAGGCACTGTTAATGACATAGCACATTGAGAGACACTGTCACACTCTGTGTAACTAACAGTCTGTGTGGTGCCCATGCCATTGACCTTGGGAGAGTAACCTTGATGTTCCCAGAAGTAAAACATCATGTAAGACTAAGAGGATTGACGTTTAATTGTAATCATTGACACTTCATTAACATTGTTCTCTTTTAGACTTCATTGTATTGACTTTGCAGTGCTCATCAGTAATGAAAATTTGATTCAGTGAACCTTTAAACATGAGCTCAGTAGGTATTTTAGATTTTCCTTGCCTTGAACTTTGTGATTACATTCCCACTGCACAGATTTTACTAGTTTTTGTTTCACAAACCTCTTTGTGAACCAGCAAATTCATATAAGAGGGACAGGAAATATTCCTTTTAAATGTCTTTACTCCTAGTTCTGGAAAACTTTTGTAAATCTAAATATCTAACATGCGGTTATTCACATGCATGCATGAAATGCAATCACATCTATCTAGGAAACCACCGGATACTTACCAATGCACAGGAACATTATGACACTAATTAGGACATATTGCAAGGAATCTCCTTGATAACCATAATGGAGAGTTCAAGTATAGAGCTGTAATTAATAGATACTGGGAGAAGATTGATCCTTTTCATGTTGAAACTTAGAGTGATCCAGATCTGACTTTTCTTTTTTGTTTTGTTTTGTTTTGTTTTGTTTTGTTTTGTTTTGTTTTGTTTTGTTTTGTTTTGTTTTGTTTCTACTTAATTCAGTAAAAAGACACCTGCAAGATTTAAGGGTGACTCAGAAATAATTCAAGGTGATTTTATCTGGAGTTTATTAATCTGCCACTGAAAATTAATGGCCTTCAAACTGAAGTAAAAGAAGCAGCAAATAATTGTGGTGAACTTGAAGGAAGAACAGCTCTGAGTATCAGAAAATACCTGTTTCCATTTTCCTTGTTCCTTCAGGCTTTGTGACTGAGTGTTTACATCCCACTCCTCTAAAACAACAACTCAGTTTCTCTCCTGATTAGCCATGATTCTCACTATTCTACCCAGCCCCCAGATCTCCTTTGATCTTCATTGCATTTCTCTTCTTTCTCTCTGTATCTTATCAGCAAGTTCCCTGTTCTTTCAAGTTTTCCAACAGGTCCAATCAAGAGGCTGCATGACATGTGGCCAGTCTGCAGGCCAAACAGCGCAGATCCTTACCAAACTAGGAATCATTAATCTGGGTTTCCTTCCCATTGCTCAGCTGTCATCTTTTTCCCAAATGAGCAGGAACTGAGATCTGACTTTCTCCATCAATCTATTGACTCTCTGTAGAATGGTTTGATAAACAGGCAGAGAGACTATAATCACAAATGATTCCCTTGAGAAATCTAGCTTAACTCAAGAGACTTTCTTTATGGTAATAAATCTGGTGGGCACATTGTAATAAATATTTTGTTATTTAACAGTTTGACATTGACAAGGAAGCAGGAGAGAGACAGATTTACCATCGATATTGTATGGAACGGGCATCTGTACACTGTGCCCATGTGTTCACCACAGTCTCACAGATAACAGCAATTGAAGCAGAACACATGCTTAAAAGAAATCCTGGTAAGACTTGAATTTTTTCCTTCTTACATTTCCTCTCAGTACTTACATTTTCTCAGATTGAATGAAAGTAACAGGCATAAAAACATAAGAGCAAGGCACACTGTGTAGGTATGTGTGGCTACACTGCAGAGAACAACTTTTTCAAAAGAAATGTACAGACAATATCACTTGAAACACATTCTAGTAGCATATGTAATCTGGAAAAAATCAAGTTCAGCATCGTGCAATAATTATATTCCATACCATTTCAGGAGAGTGTTAGTTTACCTCTGAGGATGTCAGGATTTCTTTACAGGGAGTTTATCTACAGTAGAAGACATATATTCCATCATCCTCTGGTGATGATAATATGTTCTGATCAACTGAAGAAAACAGAAGGTGGAATCTTTGTAATACATTTCACCAGCTTTTACAACTTGCTTTGCTAGTAGAGAGTGATATGTTCTTGTAGAAATGTAAAAGGTTTCATATGTGAGATGGATATTAGATGTATTTTACTTTTCGGTGATTATGCTGTTCCTCTTTACTTATTATTGAAAGAGATGAGAAGGCTAAAACAAACCATAGATCAGTACAGCTAATTTCTGTATATGTTTCACAGCCAGGAACAGCAATGTGGTTGAGCTCATAAGCATCTTAGGACTTAAGCATGATAAGTTTCACGGATGGATATATTATTTGTTGCTAGACAATCAGAACAATTTAAAAAATAGTTAATGTACATGCCCAAAAGTTTGTTTAGCCCTATGCATCAGTCTCGTTAAATATGGAATTTGTCAGAAACTTTGTCATATAACATATAAGGTAATGAACCCAGTTTGATGCATCCTTAAAGCTCTTTTTAAATCAGCACAATGCTTTAGAAGGATAAGCCATTGTATTCCATCCACAGATATGCATAATTTTGAGATTATTTAGCAGATGTGCTCACGTCTTAGTTGTTTCAAATATAGCCATTCTCAAAGGACTTTGGGTTTTTGTGGTTTTGTTTTGAATTTGGTTTATTTATTCTTCTTAGATTTATTTTAGGTGAATTGCAGTGCTAATTATAGACCTGGAACTGTTATCCCTGCTAGCTTCAATACCACAAGCCACACCACAATTTCTGCATTAGGATAAACAGAAAGTTATCCACTGGACCCTTAGCTTCATTGCTGACTGATTGAAAAGAATGTGGGGTCAACAGAACAGAAACATCCTCCTATTCTGTTTATAAACAAGTAATCTTCTTGTCCGACCTCCTGGTTCACTGTGGGAGAACTGGTTCATATAGGACTTAACTTTAATACTGCAACCACTTTCAAGCGCTTCCCAACAACATAAGAATCTTTGACTCTTTTTCTTTCTGGGCAGTTTTTATCCATTCTCTGGTATTAATGAGGGATTTTTGAATATTTTCACTCATCCTCAGCAGGCTGTATATTGACCAGTCTCATATTCTTTGATTAAAATGCAGCTCCATTTACCCTTTCATCAGTAGTGGTGTTCAATCTGTCTTTTACATAAGTCTCAGAGGTATAAAACAAACATGGTTTCCCAAACTGTCCAGTTCACTGTTTCTGCTCAACAAACAATATTTCAATTCTGTGCCCTACTGAAAATATGATGAAAGAGGGCTTTACTCCCATTTTAAATGTGGGGTCATTTTGTTTTGTTTAATGAATTGGTGAAAATTCTGTTTTAAAATCGCCCCAAATGGGTCAAATCAGAATCATTTGATTTCTGTATTCACAGGAAAGAAACTGGAATTGATTTAGGTAATAATAGCACAGGATGATATTTTCTGTTGACAAACAGCAAAGATTCAGGGCTGATTCACACTTTTTCAGAGTTTTCTCTTACGATTTTGATCAAATATATACAGCTACAAAATCTAGGTTTAGATCTTAACTAAGTCTCCTAGAACTTTGATTCAAAGTATTCTCTACTGCTTATGAAATGTATGTTTCGTAACTGAATGAAAATAATAGATATCCCACAATATCATCTTTCAAATAATGGATAAAATTTATGATCAGAGACAGAACCTTACATGATTCATCAGAGACAGGTTTATCGTTAGACACTCAAGATTTTGACAAACAATTTCCTAAATTATTGTTCAAATTTAGTACTCCTAAAAACTAAGCACAACAGCAGCATGTGAAGTTGGTTTGATGTAAGCAGTCACTCTGCCAAATTTATATACTTTATATATATTTATATACACTTTATCTAGCAAGATGGCAAACTGCCCTTTCCCTAATGCAAAAGCTCTCTTTTCTGCTAAATCCTCAGAAGTCTGGATAGAACAGGCCTCTGTTATGCCATGCAGTGAATAAGTAGAACACAATTTCTGCTTTCAAGAGCTTTCTATCAAGTAATAAAGCAGGCAACAGTGATATCAGGATTAAAGAGGTAAGGGTCATACTACACAGAAAATGGCTAAGCGGAGGCATAAATTCAGTTTTGACAGGACAAAAAGGACTTTTATATCCAGCAGGATTTATGTTAACATTGAGTACAGGTCAAAACAAAGCCACTTCAATGTTGTAGAGGGTGGAATATAAGATGTAATAGCTTTGTGGAGAAAACTAACGAAAACCATCGTATAAGGCAGTGCTATTCTCAAGCCATGAGTGATAAGAGTATATATTAACTGTTCACATACTGCCATTGGAAGGCACACTTGTTCTTTCCTTAAGAATTTCTCTGACTCTGAAGATGTCTGCCTCTGCCTTTTCTCTGCTTTTCCAGATGTTGTCACTCCAAATGGCTTGAACATTAAGAAGTTTTCAGCAATGCATGAATTTCAGAATTTGCATTCCATGTACAAGGCTAGGATTCAAGAGTTCATTCGAGGTCATTTCTATGGGTATGTTTTTACTTTTCAAGATTCAGCAATGATTTTCCAACACTATTTAAAGCAAGAAACAAGCCAGGAAGACTAACAAATACTTCATAAAGGAGGTGAATTGTTACCAACTTAGTCAAATATCTGTCTGGGATTTCTCAAACAGAAACTGAAGGAATTTCAGATACCAGCTCTAACTCTGCTTACGACCTTGTGGGATCAGGCAGAAGATCTTGGTTATTTTCATTATTTACCCAAGATGGACTTTATTGGATTGATAGTTACCTTAATGTGAAGAAAAGCCTCTCTTTCATTATTTTCTTGGGGTAATTAATTCCTCCAGAATAGAAAAACACGTGTTTTGTATGATTACATCTTGAAAAATACTTTCATGCTTGTCTATTTGTTTGCTTGCTTTCAGCCACCTTGACTTCAGTCTTGAAAATACCTTATTTTTCTTCATTGCTGGGAGATATGAGTTTTCCAACAAAGGAGCTGATATGTTTCTAGAAGCCTTATCAAGACTAAACTTTTTGCTGAGGGTAAGAAAGCTTCTGGAAATATAGAAAATGCAGATCTTATACTCAAACTTACTGTATTAAAGAAGTCATGTGTGATAATTTCTATTTTGTACTCTGGTTTACAGGAAAATAATTATAGGATATTCAGGCTTTTCATAAAGCTATCTCCCTGAATCAACAAAGCATACAACAATGTCAGATTGCTTAAAAATAATTGATTACATAGCTCAAGAAGTTAATTTGTGGGCGCCACCCTTGTTTTTAAAGAAAAATACTAAAAATATGATTTAAGAGTTTGCTCTGAAAGTGCACCTATCAAAAAGAAGATAAAAAATAATCACATAATAATACAATTAAAAATATTTTTATGCTAATAACTTAAATTATTTTCCCATGAATTGGAGATGGCATTATTGTATTACTGTTACAGCACGCTTGCCAGCTCCTGATTTCATCCAAAACTGTTCGAAGAACACTTGCTCTGTAATTATTTCAGAATGGGATTTTGGGTGGGATCAGAAGGATACTCATACTACTTGTGAGCCTGAAAGTGATGGTGAAACTTAAACTAGGCTCCAGTAGTGTACCTGAATCTCAGAAACGCTCAGCATTGGATACTTTGACTGGTACTTTGAAGACAAACTATATACATTATGACAGTTTGTTAATACACACTAATATAATAGCATACAGACTTTTGAGCTGCCCTAAAGAAAGGGAAGAATCTTAAAATCATAAGTGAATCCTATTATTTTACACTACACATTTTTTTGTACCTCCATCTGATAGAAGCACACTAACAGTATATTTGTTCGTCTAATGTTTATAGAGTGGAAGCAATTCAAAATAATTTAATTTTTACAGCTCTGTGCAGTTTACTCTTAGCTTTCCTTTAAAAGTTGCTGACAAGAGTCCAGTCTTTTTCTGCTCCATAGGAGGAGTCTCTGAGAAACTTGATCTTCTGAAACTTGTTTATGCACAGGAGAAGCAAGTGAAACGATCTCTAATCAAAGGGTTGGATTTTACATCTTGTGCTTTTTGCTTTTGGAGTGGCTATTTGTAAGAGATGAGCAAGAGGTTACTTGTGGTTTTTTTTGTGTGTCTGGCAGGTTCTGTGTTAGGCATACAGATATACAGTGGTTGCTGATAATAACTCTTTTAGAATATATACCTGGGGCATTGCTGCAGAAAATAGTTCTGCTTGCTGTATGGAGTCCCCTGCCCCATGCCTGGGCACCCTCTGTCTAGTAAACTAGTTTCTCACTCCTTTAAGCCAACCAAGTTTATGTCACATGAGAAAATCTGTTTGCCATTTTAATTTTTATTTTTATTTTTATTTTTTTGCTGTTTATATTCATATCCTAAGCTACGCTTTACTAAACCATGAGAAGCCAGCAAGATCCACATTGATCAAACTGGAATTGAGCAACTGATACCTGTTTATCTGTATCTATTCTCAGTTATATTCCTGATCTGCTAAAAACTTGACAGCTAAAGGGAGAGGAGTAAGATCAGAGCCTTCCTGGATGACCAGTCAAAGTCTGCTGGGTTTTGCTCTGACTATTTTGTAGTATTAATACGGGCTTTGATATCCTGTGGTGAGTTTTAATTTTTCTTTCCATCTCATGTCCATTCAGGTACATAAGAGTGATGTTACAGTCGTTGTGTTCTTCATTATGCCAGCAAAGACAAACAATTTCAATGTGGAAACCCTGAAAGGACAAGCAGTCCGGAAGCAGCTCTGGTAATTGCCATTTTTACTGAGGGCCTTGATTAGGGAGACATATTGATGTTTCTGGTGAAGATTAGTGTTCTTTCTTCTTGTCACAGTTTGTTATGAGTTTAGAAGGTTTTTTTTTTGTTTTTTTTTTTTTTTAATTTATTTTACTACTTTTCAAACAAAAAAGCAAAGCAGAATTCAACCACTGAACCTCATCTCCCTTAACTACTGTGTGATTCTACACAGGAGGAGATATGCGAGGTACTTTCAGACTGCAACACATCATAGAACTGAATGGTGATGTTCTTCAAAGAAAATCAAGAAAATGAAGGATTAATTTTGTTAGAAAAAGTAGAAAATGTTATTTCATTCAGCGTATTTACAGATTAATTATCTAATCAGGGAAATTAAAATGTGCACCCTATCAGATGAGCAGAACAGTTAAATACTTCTGCTGCAGAAGTAAGGAAGCTGATTTTTAAGGTAAGGGACAAAAGCTCCTAGCTTCTGCCTTGATACCTGTTTCTCACTGTGTTTATTCTCTGTCAGATGCCAATTCCTTAGTTATAAAATTATAGAAATAGAAATGACTCAGAATCTATAGATAAAAGGTACAGATTACGAAAAGGATGCTATTTAAAATATATATATATCTTCTTAATTGCCTCCAGCAGAAAACCTGTGACTGAATTTCTGGGTATCAATAGACAAGTTGAAACCTTTGATTAAAGGATAATGAAATTGCACAGGCGCAGTAACAGAAATAGTTTAAGGGTCATTGGAATATCTACATCTGACTGTACTTGAAAAAGAAGTCAGATGTGAGAAATCTATTTGCTTTCTAGATTGTCTCTGGAGTCATTGAACAATGACTTTGGGGATTTTCAGAAAATGTTTTGCCACTCTGAAAATGGATGCCACAAAGGTAGAGGTTGGAACTGGTTGTTCAGATGTGGCTTCCTAAAAAAGCAGTGCCTCTGAGCTGCCTTCATTGGCAGTAGAGAGTGACGGTTCATTCCAGATCATGACTCAACCTCTACCACCTCAGGAGGAGTCTAAAATGAGCAAGCAAAATCATCTTTTGAAATTGGCTATCACCTTCTGTGGATGTGCAGAGGATTTACACAATTATCTTTATCTGTAGATGGCTAAAGTGCTGTAATATATCCAGAGCTTTTAATGAGAAAGTGTATGCAGGAACTGGCCATCCAGGGAGAAATACCATTGAAGCCTGAACTGAATTAAATGGGCAGTGTGTTGTTGCTGCCATAGGGCAAGATTCTGGCTCTACATCAACTTCAATAAACTAATGTGAGTGCATTGAGAGACAGCCGTGCTTTCAACAAGCCCTTTCTGCCTCTGCCATATTTTTAATTTAATGCGTGTAATGTTTGAATGCAATACAACAGGTATATATTAAATAAATACTATATATTAGGCAAGCTTAAATGAAATGAAATTTGCAGAGATTTTTCCCCGTTATATCTTTACTACATGGCTATTTCTCTGATACTCAGAAATACAGGCACAATGGTAACTGTAAAGGTAAACCAAAAGATGTGAAATCATGCAAAAAGTTCTGTTTCCATATGTTCTTCCCACTGTGCTCTGTGAAAAGTAAAAGATTCTCTGTGTCCTTAAATGCAACAGTGCCATGATCATCATGTGAGCTGCTGTAAAAAAAAAACACCTGGTATCACTGGTAAATAATAATATTAATTGATTTTAAGGATGCCACAGAAGTTAAATACAGGACAAGTATGGCAGTTATCAAGAAATAGATGATGGCTGATATGGGATATAAAATCTTTCTTCTGCTTATGAAACAGCAGCCTATCCTAAGTGGGTTAAGTTTTGGAGATTGTTCAAGGCATGAGTCAATAAAACATAGCCATGAGTGGGCTAGCTTGCTGGTATTTGAATCAATTTGTTTTGACATTTAGCTGCTTCACAGCTCATAGAGAATTAACTCATCTACTATTGTATCAATGTGAGTTGAGAGAGAGCAACTAAAAATAAGTATGTGGATTTTCAGCTTGGTAAAGTTTAGGATTTCACTCAACAAATTTTGTCTAAGTCCAAAGTCTAATTCTTAGAAATCAGAAAAGCAGGAAGAGTCCCATAGAAGTGGGCATTTTAGTCAGACTGAGAGTGTATTTGCTGTTTTGAGAACACCGCTTTCAGCTGTACTTCCAAGCTCTTTCTTCTAGGATCAGGATAATATGGCTCTTTGCATTAAGAGTGGTTGTTCACTCAAGTTCTTTCTCAACGAAAATATAACGCTTCTGGCACAGGTTTTATTATTAGTTTAAAGCATGGGCTGGGCTTTCCAGAAAAATGTTTGATTTCCAAAATGACTTATGCCAAATTACTTGTTAATCTTACCCTTATTAAAAAAAAATTTAAAAATTAAGTGAAATAACAGGGCTGAAATGGAAGGAAGAATCTTGCTTTAAAATCACCATTTTTTTACCTCATGTATTGCTCATAAGGTCAAGTTAAACTGAAAACATCTGGTCCTTCAATGTCTATTTCTCTACTTAGAGTCACATATATGTCTTCTTTTTCATAGCTGAGATGAAAGTGTGGCCTACTGACCAAAGTACTGGAAATAATCATTAGTGAGTTCTGTTTCTGGCTTTAGCAGTTAGTTCATCATTGGGTACGGATCATATCCTCTGTTGCACTGAAATGAGTCATTAGGGCTGCTGGTTGGATAAAAGACCTTTGAGAATTAAACCTCTGCTTCTGCATTCCTGGCTCCACCAGCATACACAAAAGCACAGTAATTTACAGCAGCAGGGATATATTTTATTCTGTCTTTGTAAAGGATTCTCATGTTCATACATAAATATATTTATTTTCCTAGGGACACTGCACAGTCTGTGAAAGAAAAGTTTGGAAAGAAACTCTACAATGCCTTACTAAAGTGAGTGTATAGGTTACTTTGTCCTGTCTTGCAGGGCCACATATTCATTTGGCTTACCTGTAGTGATTTTGTGGTTCTACTCTTTGTCTAAGAAATATTGGGGTCTACAGAAAGGATATAGGAAAAGGATATGGGACCCTCTGTGCTGTATACAGGATAGTTGTATGATAGGCAAACCACAGATGAAAAAATTAAAGGTACTAACATCCCATCTTGTAAAGGATCTTAAGAGACATGGGGGATGTTTATGTAATGCTGAGAATTACTCACAGACAAAGATGAGCATCAGAGACAAATGTGGGTTACTGAATTGGTCGTATCCTTTCAAAAGACAGCTGATGTGAGCTGAAGTGAATCATCCAGAGCTGAGAGGACTGAAACTTCAGCAAAAATAAAGTGTGATTGAAAAACAAAACAAAATAAAAATTCCTTTTGGAGTTTTCCGTAAGCCAATTGGAAGGATAGCAAGTTTATGGGAGAATAAAATGTAGGGAGTGTAGAAGGGATAGGACAACTAAGGAAAGATTCAGGTTGACATCAGCAGACTTCAGATCAGAACCTTGTTTATTTCTTCCTCTTCTTCTTTTTTTTCTTTTTTTTTAAAGCATCTTTAATGTAAACTCATAATGCTAGTTCTCAGAAGGACTGATAATAAATCATTTGGTAAACTAGGCTCTGTGTTGCCTCCGCAGAGGAGAAATTCCAGACTTGAGCAAGATTCTTGACCGGGATGATATAACCATTATGAAAAGAGCCATCTTTTCAACTCAGGTCAGAAAGCAAATTATTTATATGAAAATCTACTGTATAAGTTAAGCACAGCTGTGTACAACGATTGTGTATGACATGCATGCTTTGAAAAAAAAAAAGTTTTTAACAAATGTACTTCTCAGTGGTAACATTTAAAGATCATCTGTGATTGTTTTTGAGGAGAGTCGGATGCAAAATAATTATTTTGGCAAATCTGCAAATCTTCCCCCAGTGACATACAGGACACCAAATGCTGTCATTCTTTTCTTTTGCACAATGTCCAAAGTCTTTGCATTGTTTCTGAAGCTTGAATTATTCCATTTTAATGAAAGGTGTAAATTCAATCACATAAGGAGAGTTAAGGTCAGTCCTCTACCACGAAAAACAAGTAGAAATAAATTGTAGGCATTTCTAAAAGTTAATGCAAATACATTTCTTTTGAGGTAAATTAACCTGTGACAGCTTTTATGGTCTAATTTGTGTCCTGGGCTCTGTAAAAAACAATGTTATGTGATTCTAAGTTTCCTTTCATGTCTTCAAATGAAATGGCAAAAAGCTATCCACATTAACAGCAAAATCTCCAGTGTCTTCTGCTAACCTCAGAAAATGGTAACAGAACACTTTCCCGAGAGCTTTGCCTGGCTCAAGGATTGTCTTTTCTCTTTTAAGCGACACTGTCTGCCTCCAGTGACCACCCACAACATGATTGATGATGGCAATGATCCAATACTCAATACCATCCGACGAATTGGCCTTTTCAACAACCGAACAGACAGAGTAAAGGTACCTTCTGTTGTTTTTTCATTCTAGATATAAAATGGAATTAAACAGTCTGAATCTGGATCATTAGAATAGAAAGAGCAGTTGAATTCCTGATAGAGAGTCAGTAATGTACTATTTCCTCCCTCTTGCTCCCTTTCCAAGAATAACGATCCAATGAGCTCTGAGAATAGGATACAAACTGTTTGAAGAAATTAGTAAATTGCATGTAACGCTGTAAACACCTCCTCCTGCTTCTCAACAGACTTGACTGGATAGGTTGTACAAAACTGGCATTACAACAGGAAAATTACCTACTATTACAACAGGAAAATTACCAACTATACTAATAAGCTGAATGTCATGGATAAAAAATCTGTACAGTTGAAAGAGAAAGTCATCTTGAGACTTGTATTACATGTCCATGAAGACACAGTTAGCATATGAAAAAGCTACAGTGATGCCAATGAAAAATCTTACTTGATTCATTGGGATCAAATAAGTTTACAAGCCATTTTCTGGTTGAATACATTCATGTGTTAATTTACCCAAGGGAGTAACATGATTATATTATTAAGAAAAGATAAAGACATATCCGTGACATGGAATAATGTTCAGAGTATGTAAATGCAAGGAAGAAAGGCCCAGAGAAGGTTTAATCCTTCCCTTATAATCCTTTCTCCCTGAGCTGTTTGGGCAGGCTATACAAGGTGCTTCTCTGCTTGACAGTGGAATATGGGGCAGTGACCTCAAACCCAGCAGAGTCATGCAAACAAATTAGCTTGGGTCCTGGAAGAGGGATATTAACCTGAGCTAATTAGCTTAGTCTTTCAGCAAGATCAGTTAGCCCAAGTCCAGAGTTATGATGATGGCATTATAATGCATCTGGTTTCAGCTATCTTCTGAGAACTGCAAGCATTCCTATTTTTCAGCTGGGTGCTCAGGAGTGCTGTATTCTTATGAGACCTCCTCTGGAAGAAAACCTCCCAATATTTTATATTGTGGTACGACAGACCAAGAGAACCAATTCAGTGCTGCTAAATGTTACAGTCTTAGGCATAATCAACAATGTGCATGGTCCTTGAGCAAGAAGAATAATGCCAAAGACCCATTCAGAAAATAGTGTTCATTATCAGTATTATTTCCAGGACAAGACTACATACGGACAGGTTACAAGATAACGCATGTTAGTGTGGGAATTGAATTAGACAACAGGATGGACAAGGGAGGTATTGTCCAAGTGCTCAGAAGAAGAGCAGAGTGAAAAAAATTACTGAAGCTTACCAATAAATGCAGTGCATTGATGATGCTTTTCTTTCACCTCTAATGTAATTTTTGAATATCCAGGTGATAGTACATCCAGAGTTTCTTTCTTCGACAAGCCCGTTGTTGCCCTTGGACTATGAAGAATTTGTTAGAGGTTGTCACTTGGGTGTATTTCCATCATACTATGAACCCTGGGGTTACACTCCAGGTAGGCAATCTGTACATTTTAATAGGTATCAAAAGATGAATACCCATTCTGCTGATGCAGAATAGATTTCAAGCCAGTTTCTTCTGGAGTGCTGAAAAAACTCTTTTGACTCTGTTTCCTCTGCAGTGCAAAGGTCTTACTGCTGACAAAATTTGGGGGCCAGGTGGTATTAAATGGCATCTACTGACTGACAGCTACTCAAATTTGTCCCTGCGCTGGACCCTTTTCCATACTAACATGTAATCTTTCAATTTTCTGTGGCTTTAGAACAAAATAAAATAAAATAAAGTCATTTTTGAATATAATTTTTAATTTGCATAAGGGATTTTAAAAGATTTAGAGGAATGTGCGTATTGAAAAAAAAAACAGAACAAGAATTCTGATGCTACCAGCAGACATACTTCAGTGGGTTTAATTCAAGATTGCAGTTAAGTTTGGTATGTGTATGTAACACCACATCTAAGATATTTACCACAAATACCTACATGAAGTAATAGATATTCTCACAGACCTAAGGGGAAATTTTTAAAGATACAGAGAGCATTTAGTTTCAGGCTCAAAAAAATTTACCCAGATTTACAGTGGGCACTTAACACCTAATGAAATCAGTACAAACCATAAACTTGAATGTCTATCAAGATCAAAGCCTATTTTATTTTGTATGTCCTGCAAAATATCTTCTGTAATCTTGATACGCATCTGAACATTTGGATGCTCCTCTGAAGTGAATTTGCGGTAAGCCAATGAATCAGAATAAAAATTTTGCGAAGTTGATCATTCTCCAGAGCTATTTCTCTCCACTTAAGAGAGCCATCTAATTCCAACGCTGTTTTGCCTTCCAGCACTTTCTCTTTCGGTTTTAGTCTCAGCTGAAGTATAAGGAAAATGTGACAGCCAGGGATGATTTTGAAATTAAACTGGTAACCTAACCAGAAAAGTTAGCCTGCTACTTAGCAGTTTTGAGGAAAGCTGTGATTTACACTGGTTAAAAGAGTTATTTCTTTTATTAATGCAGAATAGATTCTCTTTGTTGATATATCCATTTAATTCTCCCTGAAACAGAAAATGTTCTTTTTTGATGGATTTGTCTGCCCTATCAACATCAGCTTCATTGTCGTATGAAGGAAGGCCATGTAGATGGTTTTCAGCATTTCAGTTGGAGTATTTTACTTCATATGTTTGTTGCTTTAGGTTAGACTTAATATTCATCAGCAGAAACTCTTTAAGCAGGAGTAAAAAGTTATTCTTACTCACAGCAATGATAGAAATAACTACAAAAGAGGCATGCATTTTATAATTTTGTAAAGCTGATTCCACATCTACTTTGAAAGCAATTCAAACTTAACGTTTCCTTTGTTGTTACAATAGAGACTAGTTTAAAAGCACCTAATAACAAAATACAATGTATAGCACGCTCTTGCAATTAAGAGAATCAGTTTTGCAAATAGTAATGAATCACCTAATTAACATTTGTGTACAACAGGCTTCAGTTTAAAATGCAGACAGTCCAGGCCATATATCAGGATTCTCTGTTTCAACACTAGAATCCTGCATTGTTTTCAGTTTAGCTGCTGGAATATATTTGCAAAATATATTTGCAAAAACAGTATGAAACTTTCTCTTTAAAAATCCTTTCTTTTTCTTTCTCTTTTCTTTTCCCCTAAATCCACAACAAAGCATTTTAGTTTTCCCTTGATATTTTTCAGAGCAGCTCTAGTTTTATGGGACCTTCTGTTCATCTTCTTTCATTTCTTTCATTTTCTTTTTTTCTCATGGGGTGAAACCATTCATATTGCCTTGAAACATTTTTTTATCTATTTCTTTTGGCAGCTGAATGTACTGTGATGGGTATTCCCAGCGTGACCACAAACCTTTCTGGATTTGGCTGTTTCATGCAGGAACATGTTGCTGACCCAGCTGCTTATGGTAAAATTTTTAACACAATATCAAAATAGTGCCTCTGAATTAGGAAGCAAAACTACAGCAACAATGCTTCAGCTCCTGAATTTCATGCTTTTACTAGTGCAGTGCAGTTCATTAGGAAAATACATTCAGAGCTCCAAAACTCTGGTGATGTTGAGCAAGCTATTCAAGCTTTGATATTTATCCAATTTTTTTCCAGGTTCTTTGTCTATTATCTTCCTTTAATCTTTTGTTTGCTCTGTTGTTTCAAACTCAGTACTCTTTATCCCATGTCTAGTCTCCTAGCACATCCCTTCAATAATTAAGCTGGAACACTTGGAGACCTTCAAAAGAAGCAGTGAAAATCCCCTTCTCTTTGAGTAGTCCAAGAAGGATATGCTGGGACTTTGGGAGCAGTGAAGCATGCCCTCATCAAACAAACAATAAATTATCTTGTACACTAAAAATAAGCCTGTGACAATAAAAGGAGCCTACTTACAGATAAGAATCTGCTCATTAAACTAGAAAAATGATCCCTCATTAAACTGTGGTGAGGAGGAGTACAGCCAAATCCCAGTACATCAAGACAATATTGAGAATGTGACCAAACTAGAGCATCTTACTAAGGATCTTTGCTTGTCTGTACAATCAAATGGAAACATCTCCACAATGGAAACATCCCGATCTACTGGAAGGGATAGGACCAGCTGCAGAATATATGTACACCTGCTTGGCTAGACATGTCTTTGAAAACCTTGAGAAAGGTTACAGGTAGAGAGACGGGTCATTTGCTCTACTCTGCAAAAACATAGATGTGGGCATTGACACAACTTATGTAATATTTGTAAGACTATGTGACAGACAGTAGAATGGAAATGTAAGAGGTCAGATTCCACTTTCAGTTCAGCTTATCTTCACATTTTCTTTGTATCCTTTAGGCATCTACATAGTTGACAGGAGGTTCCGCTCACCTGATGAATCATGCAACCAGCTGACTCAGTTCCTGTATGGATTTTGTCAGCAGTCCCGTCGCCAGAGGATCATCCAAAGAAACCGAACTGAGAGGCTCTCAGATCTGTTGGACTGGAGATACCTAGGCAGGGTGTGTGAAACTATTAATAGAGGTATTAAAAATTCCAAACACTGTCTTCAGCATCATGCTACAATGCAAGGAGGCATTCCTGTTCTGAAAGGCACCTGTCAGAGGTGCTAAAGATGATGACTGCCTTTATATCTTGGTGTAATTCTTCCATTGTTCTGTGGTAAGGATAGGCATTACTTAACTGAATAGGTTAGAGCAGAAGCCAGACACAGTGATCTCTTTCTACTCCTTATGCCAACTTCAGTACAAAAAGCTTATGTCTCTGAGAACACTGGCAACTGTACAATGAGTAGGATTTGTGCTCCGAAGTCTTTCAAGGATCCTATCTGTTCTTCCTAAAACGCTTCTAGACCTTGTGGCTCATCAGCACTCCTGAACTAAATCTGTGCATTAAAACAAAACAGAGTTTTTAATTTGATGTGGAAAACACTACAGTACCACCTACTAAGAAGAAATTAGCAAAGCAACGTTCTTAAATCTACAGGAAAAAAGAAGTGGATGGATGCACGTGTATCAGTTTTGTAACTATTTTAGATCTCGCTCTGTGTTGGTATCTGTGTGAGAACCTTTCTGTTTGTATGACTGCTAGCATAGTGTAAGGCTCTGACACAAGCTGTTATTTTCAGTACAGGTGATGGTGACTGGTGATTATAGTAGATTCATCAACTATTTTTGCTAAACCCTTAAATGTCACACCTCATCAAACTCATAAGTATTTCTTCTTTTTAACAGTTACACATTATTCCTATGCAAGGATGAACCCAAAGTTTAAGTGTATGCACATGTATATTTAAAGATGTAAAATTCTCTGGATAAAAAAGACTCTGTTATATGTTGAGAGATAAATACCAGTCACTCTACACTGACCTACACCAACTGTCATGAGTGCTGGTTTCCATCTTGGCACACCTTCTGCTTCAGTATGAAGTTTGCTATTTCCCAGTAATACATTTTTTACAAATATCAGTACCATTTGGATTATCTCGTGTTTGGCCATTGTTCATCATCATCTTTGAAAAGATACTCATTCTTTGTTCCTTTTATTTTTTTTCTTCTTTCCTTAAATCTACCCAAGACTTCCTTGACTTGTAAAGATTTCTCTTTTATGTTGCAGTATTACATGCATGCTAGACACTTGGCCCTCAGCAGAACATTCCCTGATAAATTTGAGATGGAACCATGTGCTCCACCAAAGGTAAAATCTGCTTTTAGAGATGAATTCATCTGCATTTTCAGTTACTTTACAGAGAGAAGGAAAAAGAATATGTGTGTGTGAGAGAGAGAGAGTCAGTAAGGTTTTACTTAACTATAGGAAAGTTAACTCACAGTTAAAACCTCTAGTTATAGACCCAAGCTCCAATCAGAACTTATAATGGTGTCATATGCAAACAGTAAGGGTACCATGTGTAATACAGAAACAGTTCTTCAGATGATCTGGGGTGATGTGGATGGGACTATGCCACTTTAGACTAGCTGAGGAATCGGCCTTTGGAATTTCTGTTAGAAGAGAGTCCCTAATTTTTCTTCTGATTAACTCCATGGAGAAGTTCTGTATAAACTCAACTACTGAAGAGGATTTGGGAAAGTGTATCTCGGGAAAAAAAAGACACAAAATATTGCATTAATCTAAACAGAGTATGTGAGGAGGAGACTGTGGCTGTAATTTCAAGGGGTCAGTTTAAAGGCACACTTTCAGTCACTTCATGTATAGTGCATAATAGCATCAGTTTGAAAAGGGACCCTGCTCAAATCCAGTCTAAATTCCATGCTATTTGAACTAAATCTACAGACACCACCAGAGCAACTCATATTTTGAAATGAGAATGAGAAAGGAGGCTTAGGCCAAAACTCCATGTTTAGCTCTGGTTCTGCAGATGTTGGCATTATAAAAGACTAGAAAACTGTTCAAACTTCAGACAGATTCTGAATTCTGACTACAGAACTTAGAAGAATTTAATGTAATGGTGCGGATTTTAAAGCTCAATAAAGATGATCATATTTTACAAGAAACAATGCTGGAAAGAAAGCCTATCTTTTATGACACCAGCTAAAGATCACTGACATACGAACACTTTCTAGCAGAGCAGGACTTAAGGGATCTGTATTCAAGGGAATTTATTTTTGGAGTGCAAAGCAAGTCTAGTTTACGTCCATTACCCATGATTTGCTTTGTAGCACTGACAGCCTTAAATTGCTGTACACAATTGAGGAACACTGTGGTAATTTATATGCAATTTGCTTCTCTCTGCCAGACGGAAGGTTTCAGATTCCCAAGACCTTCATCAGTGCCACCATCGCCTTCTGTCTCTCAGCATTCCAGTCCTCACCATAGTGAAGCCGAAGATGAAGATGAGGATGAAAGATATGATGAGGATGAGGAAGCTGAAAGGGATAGGCAAAATATCAAGTCTCCATTTTCACTTGGAGTATTGCCACAAGGAAAGAAGAAGCAGCATGGAGAGTTCAGGAACTGAATGTGTTGCTCTCCACCCATACAGAGTCTCTCCATGTATTTAAGAGTAAAGTAGGCATTGCAAGCTTTGTATTAAGGACAGTATGTTATATTTTAGGAGAATCTTAAATGACACTTGAGCTACACTGTTGGGAAGCCTAATATTTCTTCATCGTGAAAGTAGTTTAGATGACAATTCTTCTGTGCTCCTCGGAAGTAGAAGAATTTTATCAAGCTTAGTAAACTTAGAGAATGTAACAGTCTCCTTAAGCTTATCTGAAGCGTAGATCACACCTTTGTCTGCATGATCATCTACACTAATATTAGTTCATGCTGATAGTTCTGCAATGGTTGTTCCAAATGAATTCTTCCTTCATTTATGTCCCTCACTTCCTCCTCCCAAACTAACATAATCTTTAAGCCAGAGCTCAGAAAATTTAGAGAAAAAGAGTGTTACCCTGGAGAAATCTTGTCAGAGGTAAAAACTGAGAAGAAAATGGTCTTCATCTCTCCTTATGCTGTTTACCTTATTGTAAACTTACATCATTTGAAACATTTTTTACAGCACATGGAAGCGTCTTGGATTAAAACACACTGTGGAACAATATAAAGTCTTATGCAGTGGTCATTTGAATTAAAGATACAAATGAAGTCATCTTCTTCAAGTCCTTTAGACCTACAATAAACAGCAGACCATTTATTTTCTGACTCCGCTGGTATGTCTCTTTGTTTTCATCATGTTTTATATTGAGTTTGTTAACAAGCTAGTTCAGGGAGGAAATTAATGTGACTTGTCTAAAGAGAATGAGAAAATTAACTTAATTAGCAGCTTCACATGCAGACAAAGATATGCCACAGAGCAATTCAAGGTGGTGTAATTTTAGTTCTTCCAATTGCCCACTGGTTTGGGCTCTATTTCTATTTTGTGGAAGAGACGTGCCAACAGTTTATGGGCCAGTTTGGTCCAGTTATGTGACTAATGGGGCCAGGGGAACCCGTGAACCCACGACCTGAGAGTGGGAAAGGGGAAAAGGCAGGGAGATGGGTCTAAAAACGGAACAGCAGCAATGATCTGAGGACGCAAGTTAATTTACTGAATAATATAGCAGAATGCAAGGTGACACAGTATAATACAATATAATTGGAATTGAGGCTAATAAATCAAATGAAATGAGAGTGTTCAAAAAGTGAAGGCCTTACTTTAATGCTGAAGGCAAGACTGCTAGAGAGCACACACCACAGAGATAAGCAGAAAGGAAAGGAGACAATCTCGTGACTTGTGAACAGTTTTATCTTTCCCTCTAAATGAAAAATGGAAACAGAACAATGAAAAGTCCTCTGGGAGATGTAGTTCGTCTTCACTTCTGAGACAAGTATACACAAAACTATTGACAATCCATGAAACTAGAGCATTAGCTTTTCAACTCCCGGTGCTCTATATGATGTTATGATGTGGAATGCCGAAAACAAAAATCATAAACCCATGACATTCCACCCTTTATTCCGCATCACTACATCATGCTTAATATATATATACAAACAATAATTAACATGTATTACACACATACAAACATATATATATACATATATATATGTATGTGGAATCACTGACTACACTCTCCCAATATCAAATTCCCTTGTGGTACACATTAAACATCCCCATTTTTCACCCACCAAGTGGACCCGAGTTCCTGAGCAAAAATAGTTCCATGGAGAGGTTTGCCCTTTCCAGAAGCTTGAAAGACCCAAACCACTTTTCCCAACATGCTATTTACATGTACTACAGAGTCCTTATCTCACTCTACAGTATGCAGGGAGCTGGATTGGGCAGGACCATCGCAATTGATAGATCCTCAAGCCACCAGCCAGGTGGCTTCTGTCAAATGATTCTCCCTTAATGTTTCATCACCCATTATTTTCAACGTAGTTTTTAACAACATTGTATAGTTTGATTTTACCAGAAGATGGTGCATGACAAAGGTGCATGATAAATCCACTCAATGCCATGATATTTGGTCCAAGAATTTACAAGAGAATTTTTGAAATGAGTCCCATTATTCAATTCTTTCTGGAGTGCCATGTTGCCACAGACTTGTTTCTCAAGACTCAATATGGTGTTTCAGGAGGTAGCATGGGCACTGCATATGTTTCAAGCCACCCAGTGGTTGCCTCCCCCATGGTAAGCACATAATGCTTACCATTGCGAAATCATAGCAAGGTGATAAAATCAACCTGCCACATCTCCCCATATTTATACTTTTGCCATCATCCTCACTCCTAGAGAGGTTTTATCCTCTTGGTTTTCTTCAACTGCAGTGCATGTTTCACAGTCATGAATAACCCATGCAATAGTGTCCATAGTTAAGTCAACTCCTTGGTCTCTAGCCCACTTATATGTTGCATCTCTTCCTTGATGGTTTCATGGGCCAATGTAGCTAGAAATATTTCATGCTTGTTTTGCCAGTCCAGGTCTATTTGAGCCACCTCAGTTTTGGCAGCTCAGTCTACCTGATGGTTATTTTGTTGTTCTTCACTAGCCCAATTCTTCGGCGCATGAGCATCTGCATGACACATCTTTACAACCATATGTATTCTTTATTCAGGCAGCAATGTCTTTCCACAGTTCAGCTGCCCAAACAGGTCTACTCCTTCATTGCCAGTTTTTTTGTTCCCACTGTAACCACCCCCTTAAGGCATATTTCACCGTCCATGAGTCAGTATAAAGATAAAGCATTGGCCACCTCTCCCGTTCAGCAATATCTAAGGCCAGCTGGATAGCCTTTACCTCTGCAAATTAGTAGCCTCTGAAACCTGTTGCATAGGGCTCCAGAAGATTTCTATCTGTGATGCTTCCCCACAATACAACATGATCCATCTGTGAACAGTGCAAATTTCTTTTCATTTTCTGGTAGTTCACTGTATGATGTGGCCTCTTTAGCCCGCGATACTTCTTCTTCTGGTGATGTTCCAAAATTTTTACTTTCAGGCCAGTCCATTATCACTTCTAAGATTCCTGAAAAACTGAGGTTCTCCATCCGAGCTTGTTGTATAATCAACACAAACCACTTAATCCAAGTGGCATCGGTAGCATGATGTGTAGAGGGAACTGTTCTTTTAAACATGCAGATTAGCACCATCAGTTAAGTGATAGAAAGAGCAATGTTTCAGTACAGATTACGTGAGCAGCAGCACAAAACCAATCATAGGCAGCAAAAATCTCCTTCACAGTTGGAGTGTAGCGCACTTCAGATCCCCCTTACACTCGACTCTGGAATCGAAGGGGTTGGAATAGGTGTCTTCTGAATACCATAGAATATCATAGAATCATAGAATTGCAGAATCATAGAATCATAGAATCACAGAATCACAGAATCACAGAATCATAGAAGCATAGAAGCATAGAATCATGGAAATGGTCTGGGTTGAAAAGGACCCTAATGCTCATACAGTTGCAACCCCCCTGCTATATGACAGAGCATATGGGAAGATGTGGC